GGGCTCTGAAGTCCAGCCAAGGTATTTATTTTTATTTTTTGTTTTCTTTAAAGGGACACTGTAGCCACCAAAACAAATGTAGCTTAATAAAGCAGTTTTTGTGGATAGAACATGACTCTGATGTTTTACTGTTCAATTTACTGCCATTTAGGATTGAAATCACTTTTGTTTCTGATTATGCAGCCATAGCTACACCTTACCTGGCTCTGACTGACACAGTCTGTATGAAAACAAAATGGCTTCATTTTCAATCAGGTGTAACTTACTTTAAAAGTTTTTTTATCACATGCTCTGTAAGTTGAACCTTAATCACACACAAGATACTCCTGTAGGGTGTATAATGCTATTAATAGAGCAGGAGATAAGAAATTCTAAATTAAACAGAATGTGCAATAAAGGAAGTGTGAACATTAGATGACTCTTTGCAGGAAGTGTTTAGGAAGGCTGTGTAAGCCACAAGGGAGGTGGGCCCAGGGTTGCATAAACAAAGTGATTTACTTCCTGAATGGTAGAGAATTGAACAGTGGGACTGCAGAGGCATGATCTATACGCCAAAACTGCTTCATTAAGCTAAAGTTGCTTTGCTGACAATAGTGTCCCTTTACAGGTTTCCCCCTCCCTTCTTCTTACCTATGGCCAGGGAGGTCCATTCCCTGGACGTCCATGCTAATTGACCCACCAGGTGCAGACTCCCATTGCAAAGCTCTGACTCCCACTCTGACTGGTGTTATCGACCGCCTTTAGTGGATGTCATACTGACAGTCATTACCTCTGCAATGTAAACATTGCAGTTTCTAAAAAAAAAAGTGGTATGAAAAGCCCTTTTAATTTTTCATCTTCAAATGCAGAAATTCATTCAAGTCAGGTCAGACAACTCCACTACAAAGGCATACCTAAAAAATAAAAGAAGATGCAAAATTTATCTCATTTACCAGGTCATCGTTTGGTCAGAAACAAACTTGTTGGGAAAGTACATGGTCAAAATCAAAGGGAAAGACAACTGTTTCAGATTCCCAGAGCAGAGCCGGTCTGAAATAGAAAGAATAATTCCTTTGAATGAAATTTCTAGAATGAGATTTTGCGCTGTAATACATTGTGTTTATGTTATCAAGAAAAGGTTTGGTTACATCGTTACATAGCTGAAAAGAGACTTGTGTCCATCAAGTTCAGCCTTCCTCATATTTGTTTTTGCTGTTGATCTAAAAGAAGGCAAAAAACCTAGTCTGAAGCTCTTTCAATTTTGCAACAAACTAGGAAAAAACTCCTTCTTGACCCCAAAATAGCAGTCAGATATCTC